AAACCATCCCATCTGCTGCCAGTCCACACACTTGGCTCCCTAATGAAATCAAAGACATGGAGCAAAAAGGTGACAGAGATTGTTTTGACATTACTTTCAAATGTCAATTGACTGAGATTTTGCTGCTCGGCTCTGTGCCTGACTCGACTTGACTTGACTTGACTGGAGGCAAATCGAATTGAGACGTTTGGTCAAATGCGATAAAAGTCTTTAATGCAATCAAATTTAATGAGCTTGCCCGGAGAGTAGCGCCCAGCTATGTGGGAGGGTGAATTTACACTCTGTGTAAACCCATCAAAGCAAATTTTTGGGCTCAGACCCAACAGGTTGTCAATGGCTTTCGCTAAGCTTATCGATTACACTCGACTGCAAATCATCTTTGAAATGAAGAAGAAGAAAAGATGAAAGTTTGACTATATCGATTATAGAAATATTATTATGGACTAAATAATTCGAAAATAAATCAAATAAAAGACTAAAAATATACTATTTATTTAAAGGTATCAAATATAAATAATTTGTATTGATTGATAACATAAAATGTAAATAAAATCGACAGTGCAATACAGATTGTATTATAATTTTAAATCGTTTTAATATTATACACCAAAATATTTGTTTAAGTTTGTTTTAATATCAATTTACATATTTTCGCTATGTATGTAAACATATTGATATACAATTATTTATTGGTTACTCTCTCACATTCCCTATATTCTATATTTTCCATCACATAAGGCCAGACTGCAGTTAAATGTATAAATAGCTTTTTACACTCTGCAAGCCGTTTATATCCCTTCAATTTTATCTGCTGTATAATTTATTGCCGCTGATTGATAGCTTCCCAAAGTTTGTTGCGCTGTGTTGCATTAAGCACACCTGAATAGGCTTTAAGGCACAAAGTATCTAAAGCTGCAAAGCTGTAAAGCTGCTTTAAGTAACTGGAAACCAAGAGATAAAACACATACACCTACAAATGCACATACACATCCATACAAATATCGACATTTCCCTTTTTATTTTAACTGCTGGCTGTCGTTCGATTTAACATAAATTTTGTTGTGTTAAGAACTCGCGTTACTTTGCCACCTTTCGATGGCTGTCTCATGCAAATTCCAATAAACTAAAGTGCCCAAGTCGCGACATTTGATAAGGAACACAGATGAGAAACAAACGCCCCTGCGGCACTTTGTCCCTGCCCCCGTCTTCCAGCTTCTCTTTTCGTTAGCATTTCTGACAAGCTATAAAATTTTTATCAGCATTACTTTTATTTTGACATTTTACTGACATTTCGGGCGGGCGAACGCCCAAAGAAAAACAGACCCCCAGACAGAGCCAGCGTTCGGGCGAGATAAGAGCAAAACGTTGGGCGATGGGCGGTGGGCGGTGGGTGTTGAACTGTGGGTTGGTGGGCGTGGCTGAGCTCGTAGAGTTTTGTTTGCCAAGCGCTTTTTCATTTACCAAATGGCATTTGACCTTTTCGCCTACTAGAGACAACCAAATTGATTTCCAACACGATTTGTCAACCCCTTTTGAGAGCGCGCAGAAGGTTGGCCAACAAAACTAGAATTTATCGGGCCAACCAATTTTGTTTATGTATCCAAAAATCTGCACCGGACTGCTTGCTGACAAGGGTGTCGACGCCAATTATCCATGGGCAAGGAGTGCGAGAGAAGTGGGCGCTGGGTCTCGCAACCTGTTGTATTGGACTCCTCGAGCTTTCACTTTCATTTTCAATTAGTTTTCGCCCCGAAAGAGTGGGCGTGCGAATGCTCAACGCCTCCGAAACCCACAACACGAAATGGGCCGGCTACGTTCCGGCCGGAGCTGTGCTTGGCGTTGAAAAGGGTAAAAAGTAGCACCGCCTGCCGCTTAATGTTTATTATTATTATTGCCTACTTTTCGGGGGAGGGGGCTCCGCCTGGCCCCGCTGAAAAGCCGTAATGTGCTGCGGTGTTTCAATAAAACTTTATCATAATTGACATTTTAATGGTGCTACCAAAAAAATATACAAAAACGAGCGCGAAATGTTGCATACTTGCCGGCGCTTTAAGTTGTAATTTTATATTTATGTAGCTGTAGCTCTAGCTGTGGATGCGGGCTTAAAAAGCGCCCAGAGCCTCGTAAATATGAGAGCAACAAAGGTGCATAATATGTGATAACTGTGT